ATGGAAAAATAGATCTTAAATGACCTCCTGGGAAAATAGAGTCATTTGGCAGAGAAATTAGAGGTAGAAGAGGAAAAGGAAAAGGAAGATGGCCACAGAGAAGATGGAGGGAATACAGGGTGGCAAGACAAAGAAAAAGAAGGGGAGAGGGGGAGGGAAGAAGAGAGAGAGAGAGAGAGAGAGAAAGAGATGGAGAGAGACAGAGAGAGAAAAAGAGATGGATAGAGATGGATAGAGAGAGAAAAAGAGAAGGATAGAGAGAGAGAGAAAAAGAGATGGAGAGAGAGAGAGAGAGAAAAAGAATGAGAGAGAGAGAGAGAGAGAGAGAGAGAGAGAGCAGAGAGAGAGAGAGAGAGAGAGAGAGAGAGAGAGAGAGAGAGAGAGAGAGAGAGAGAGAGAGAGAGAGAAGAGAGAGAGAGAGAGAGAGAGAGAGAGAGAGAGAGGAGAGAGAGAGAGAGCGAGAGAGAGAGGAGAGAGAGACAGAGGAGAGAGAGAGAGAGAGAGAAAAAGATGAGAGAGAGAGAGAGAGAGAGAGAGAGAGAGAGAGAGAGAGAGAGAGAGAGAGAGAGAAGAGAGAGAGAAGAAGAAGAGAGAGAGAGAGAGAGAGAGAGAGAGAGAGAGAGAGAGAGAGAGAGAGAGAGAGAGAGAGAGAGAGAGAGAGAGAGAGAGAGAGAGAGAGAGAGAGAGAGAGAGAGAGAGAGACAAGAGCTGCAATGAACTCCCACTTTACAAGACTGCCAACTACACTTTGAAGTGTAATTTTTCCAACACTATTACCCATTTCAAGGCAAAAAAGGAACCCACACGCCAAGTCACTTTTAAATAATGCATCGTTCATAAAAGCAAGAGACTGTTATTGTAAACTGATATCGACAAAAATAATAGACATAATATTAATTAGAATCATCATAATGATAACAATAAAGCCATAAATAACAGTATCAATAATCATAATAATGTGAACTGTAATAATAATAGTACTGACAAAGACAATAATTGACAGATATGATAATAATATGACAGCAGACAATAATAACACCAAAAAGATCTGATATCGAGATACAATGAGTGCGTTCTCTGCACTGCAAAGCACAGATCCATGAGATACATTAATCACCAAAATACAACTCAACACAGTGAAGAAATACAATCCTCGCCACAGACTCAACTTTATCCCTTTTTTTTCCGAGAAAGAAGGCTTATTTGTACAATAGTCGAGGTAATTGGGCAGGCTGAACTATCACTGGTAATAATAATCAGGCCAAAGATAACGGCCATAGTAATGCTGGCGGATACTTAAAATATTTTCAGCACTGTTGCTGAATGGCATGCTCTGTGAACCCAATCCCTGTGCAGTGAAAGCTTGCATACACTTTGCAATTGGTCCTAATGCAACCGGTTGAATAATGTCAAACATGCCACTGTAGACCTTTTGAAGAATGTCAAGACTGACTTGACCCCAAAAAGAATGCAATAAAAATATTACAAGGATAAATATCAATTAACAATGACAACAATAAAAAAAAGGAATGATACTGATAATGATAATAATGATTACAGTAGTAGTAGAAGTAGTAGTAATGATTATAATGACAATAAAAAAAATAAAATAAAACATAACAATAATAATAATAATAATGATAATAATAATAATAACAAAAACAATAATAACAACAACTATAATAATATTAATAATATTAATAATAACAATAATGAAATTGATGACAATAATAATTTTAATAACAATAATAATTATCAGAACTATGATGATAATGATGATAATAACTAAATAATCATATCAATTTTAATAATAGAAAAAAAAGAAAATAACAACAATGGTAATAATAATGATATTAATAATAATAAAAAAATAATAATAATAATGACGACGATGATAAAAGAATAAAAACAATAAAAAAAGAAAAATATATCTAATAATAATAATAAAAATGATGATGATGATAATGATAGATAAAGACAGAAACATTACTACTACTAATGATAAACAAAACTAGAAATATAACCATAAAATAATAATAATATAAAAAATAATAAAGACAGAAATTATAATACTACTGATAATAATAATAATGAAAACAACAGCACTAATAATAATCTAAATATCATAGTAATATCAATACTATTATCATTATCACTATTATCATTATTATTATCATTTCTGCTATCATTATTGTTATCATTATCATGATCATTGTCATCATTATTGTCAGAACTATCATTATTATTATCATAATTATCACTATCATTATTATCATCATCATCATCATCATTACTAATATGTTGAAGATAAAGATAAAATGATGATTATGATGATAATGGAGATGATGATGATCATAATAACAATAACAATAATGACAAAACTATTAATTCTACAACTATTAATAATTATAATAATAACTATAACAATAGTAATAATAGTAATGGTTATTATAATAATAATAATAATAATAATAATAATAATAATAATAATAATAATAATAATAATAATAACAAACATATAATATATAATAATAATAAATAATAATAATAATAAAAAACAACAAAATAATAATAATGATAACAATAATAATAATAGTAATTGAGATAATAATAATAATAATAATAACAATGATAATAATAAAAAAATAATAAAGACAAACAAACAAAAACAATAAAACCCCAGCCTCCCTCCTAAAATCAAAAATCTACTCCAAATGCAGCATCAACTTTTCCACTCCTTTTACTATCAGTCAATGAAGTCTTCTTCATTCATAACCTTTGCGACACGAGTTTTAGCAGAAGAGGAGACACCAGGAATAATCCTGTTTGAAACGTTAATCACATCTTTGGCTTTTAGATAGTACGGGTTACCAATGCTTTATACAAATATTGTCATACTAAACACATACTTCTAATGAAAAATTAAGCTTATCACTTCCATTCTAAGTTTACCTTTACACAGTGTACAAACATAAGAGAATGAAGGTAGAGAGAGAAAGAAAGAAAAAAATTATGTTAGGCCAATTAAAACAACAAATTATCAAACAACCTAAGTTGAGTCCAAAAAAATCCTTTCTATTTTTTGCATGTTGTAGCAAAAATTATTAAGCTGTTATCCCATACGTCTAATCATCCACAAAGACCATTAGAATGCACAGACACCAGAAGGGAGGAAGGGAAAAGAAAGAGACAAGAGGAATTAAAGACAGAGTGTTGGTAAGAGGAAAATGAGGGAGAGAGAAAAAGCCTAATAGACAGGAAGAGAGAAAGAGAGAGAGAGCATTATCCGCCACATTGTCTGGAAGCGACAGATCCAAATCTAACATATGTAGACCTATATACATTACCTCTTGATGCTTTGTCCTGCACTCAAGCCTGTGCCATGCAAGAGACTTTCCGTCCCTTTTGAACAGGCACTTATTGATCCTAATCAATAGTATGCACTACAACACAACAAAACCAAAGAGAAATGAAAAGAGACAGAGCTGACAAAAAGAAGAGAAAGAAGAGGAAGAAGATAAAAAAAAAAGGAATATTAAACCATACAAAATAGAACCTAAAAATCCAGGCTGGCTGTGCCAAAAGTCAGTGGCCAAATACCTTTTCCTCCTATTGCACAGTCTTATGTTACACACCGCACTACAATGCAGATGATACATAAATTTTGGGAAAGTCAAACTACTACAAAACAGCAAACCGTTGGCAATAAAATTATCAATATTGGATGAATCTGTAACAAGCTAGAATGTGTGCAAACCAGCAGAACACTGACTTATGTTTGTTGCGAAGGAAACACTTGCTATTAAACTGGAATCCCACAATCCAGAAGGTATTATTATTCTATATTCAAAGGCTTGTCTTCTAAAGAAGAGTTAAAGATATGGAGGTTGAAATATCATTACACTTGTACATGACAAAATGCACATCACAAACACTTTTTCCCCCTAAAATACCTAAAAGAGTAAGTTAAAGGTCACTGGTACATAATGATTTTTTTCTTATTCTTCTTTTACTGTTTCTATGCAGTTACATAAAAGATTTTTTTTTCTTTAGGATATACCATCATCATCAAATAAGTTCTACTTTATAACATCACAATGCAAGGAAAGAATCTCCAACAAATTATCATATTACATACACTGAAAGCCAGAACAATCTACACCAATCACATATTTAAGCACTGTGTCCACCAACCCTAGGAGCAATTTTTTTTTTCAAATTTCAAACTTTAACATAAAGTCTTCTGCTTTCAAAGGGGGTGAACAGGTTGAAACCATCACATTATCCCTTGCTGTATATATGAAAGAGAGAGAGAGAGAGAGAGAGAGAGAGAGAGAGAGAGAGAGAGAGAGAGAGAGAGAGGAGAGAGAGAGAGAGAGAGAGAGAGAGAGAGAGAGAGAGAGAGAGAGAGAGAGAGAGAGAGAGAGAGAGAGGAGAGAGAGAGAGAGAGAGAGAGAGAGAGAGAGAGAGAGAGAGAGAGAGAGAGAGAGAGAGAGACAGAGAGAGAGAGAGAGACAGACAGAGAGAGAGAGAGACAGACAGAGAGAGAGAGAGACGACGAGAGAGAGAGAGACAGAACAGAGAGGAGAGAGGAGAGAGAGAGCGACAGACAGAGAGAGATGAGAGAGAGCAGAGAGAGAGAAGAGAGAGAGAGAGAGAGAGAGAGAGAGAGAGAGAGAGAGAGAGGAGAGAGAGGAGAGAGAGAGAGAGAGAGACAGAACAGCAAGAGAGAGAGACAGAGACAGAGAAGAGAGAGACAGAGAGAGACAGACAGACACAGAGACAGAGACAGACAGACACAGAGACAGAGACAGACACACACAGGAGACAGAGACAGACACACACAGAGACAGAACAGGAACAGAGACGACACACAGAGACAGAGAGAAAAAGACAGACAGAGAGACACAACAGACAGAGAGAGAAAGAGAGAGAGAAGACAGAAGAGAGAGAGAGAGAGAGAGAGAGAGAGAGAGAGAGAGAGAGAGAGAGAGAGAGAGAGAGAGAGAGAGAGAGAGAGAGAGAGAGAGAGAGAGAGAGAGAGAGAGAGAGAGAGAGAGAGAGAGAGAGGAAACTTGTAACAAAGAATCTTTTTAGAAAATGCTTCTTTGTGGTATACGCAATATGTGGAAGACTATAAAAAAAAAAAAAAAAAAAAGATGTAGAGGAAAACTTTGACTATACTTTTGTTTAATATGCCAGAATTCTAAGAATTCCTGTCTTCCATATCTACCACAAGGGAACAAATGACTAGTGTGACATGATCACGAAGACTGAAGTGGGCCGATATCTCTGACTAAAAAAAAAAAAAAAAAAAAAAAAAAAAAAAATCAACATCCCAAAATATCAGTGAAAAGAAACTTGTATTGGGTTCTTTTTCCAAAGGATAAATGCTCTTCTTCACTTATTACAGAGAACTAGGCCCAGTGCCTAGATACGAAGAGAGGGTAATATGTAGCTGGTACTGGTATCACATGTAAGTGCTCAAAAAAGTGCATGGCTGCTTCTTTTCATTATCTTATTTTATTTCATTTTATGCTGCCATTCACATGCAGTTCCTGAGATTATGAGACAACCACATAATCTTATGAAGTAAGTTCTCGGGAATTGCAGAAGCCTTTTGAGACACAGCCCACTTAAATTTTTATACATCACTCTTACGATGGAAGAATGACTACACACATTATTTCTTTATCCCTTTCAAACATCTGGAAATGAACAGAGAAAGTTTTATCACAAAAAAGCACAACTGACTTATGTAAACTTGCATAGAATTTTGGTCAAATGTGTAAAAAAAAATATATATGATATGAATCTCTGATACAGAATTCATTGCTCACAGAAAGCTTAGGATCCATTTTCATCACTATCCTCTTCAATTGGCGGTCCGCTATACTCTGCCTGGTCACACCAGAAGTCTGTTGGGGATGGAACATTTACAAGCCACACGAGTCTGCCTTCAGGTACTTGTGGAGGTGGAAAACCACCAACTAACTCTTGGTAATAGTGGCAATCTCTCTCAATGCCTAGACGTTTGTCTGTTCCATAGGGTGGGGCCAAAATATCAAGAAAGGCTGCAGGACCATTCAGGGAACGTATTTCGTGCACATTTTGTTTTTCAGGGAGGAGGCGGCAGGCAGGATCACTGGCAGAGACAGTGACTGCCTCATGCTTTCTTGCTGGAAACATACCAGAGAGGGACTGGTTTACTGGTACGCCATCCATGGACATGTTGGCAATGAAACTGTAACTCTGTACAGCCACTGATCCGTGCAAAACCTGAGAGAAATAATAATTATATTATAAAAGTGCATTATAAAACAGGGGAAAAGCTACAAATTCTGGGGCCTATGGGGTTTAGACCTTTGAGGGGCCTCTACTGACATATGGTGAAAAGTGTAAAAAAAATATAACAGCATGAGGAGCGCTCATTGAAGACTTCCCCTAACCCACTTCCACTTATCC